ACGACGCTGAGTGACGAGAACAAGCGGCGCGTCTACGACGAGTACGGCTCCATGGGGCTCTACGTCGCCGAGCAGTTTGGCGAGGAGAGCGTCAAGTACTACTTCCTCATGTCCAAGTGGTGGTTCAAGGTGAGTCCTGCTGTGCCGCCTGGCCGCCCAGGGGGCTGCTGGGGCTGGGGGCAGTGCAGTGCCGTGCCCGCAGGAGGGTTTCTGCCGTGGCCCCGTGTCGGGAGGGACAGGCTCTGCAGCCCAGGGCCCTGGGGCGGGGCTGTGCCAGCCCAGCCTGGGAAGGGAATCTCACCGGGGGCTCCCGCGCAGGCCCTGGCTGCGTGCTGCGGCATCCTCACTTGCTGCTGCTGCTGCTGTTGCTGCTGCTTCTGCTTCGGGCGCTGCCGCCCGCCCGAGGATGACGACGCCTACAAGTACGTCAACCCTGAGGACTTGGAGGCCCAGATCCGCGCTGAGGATGAAGGTGAGGCACCGCGGGCACCACTGTTCTCCCGCTGCAGGCGAGGCTGCTGGGGTCTTGGAGCTGTCGGGTTCTGGCCCAGGTTGACGGAGCCCTGTTGTCTCCGGGGGGAAGCCCAGATGCTCTGGCTGGGGGCCCAGCCGGGGGGGACGGGGAGTTGACTGCTCCTCGTGTCGGGGTGTCACTGGCTGCCCCAAGGACTGGGCCCCCTCCTCAGCTAAGGCATCGTGGAAGGGCAGTGCCAGGCTTCCCCAGCCTTTCCCTGAGTGCCCCCTGTACTGTGGGGCAGCCGGGGCTGGAGCAGGCTCTGGGTAGGGCCTGTGGGACCTGCTCAGCTTCCCCTCCCCTAGCAGCAGGGCGTGCTCCTGTCCCCGAGCCCCCACCCCGGCTCAGAGGCAACAGGCTGCCTCCACCCTGGGAGCCAGCGCTGAGCTGAGCAGGCCTGGTGCCAGGCTGTACTGCCGGGAGTGGCCAGTAGGGCGAGACCCCACCCAAGCAGCCCCGCCTCTCTGCGGGGAGGGCTTGGCTTGGTACTGCTGCTAGGGGGTGGGGGCTGTGCTGTGTATGGTGCAGCCCCCCCCCACCCCAGCACCTTTCTCCCTGGTCAGGTGGCGGCTGCTCATATTGGGACCAGTGGCTAGGGAAGGGACCAGGCTGCCTGCCCCCAGCCCTGGGCACGGTGCGGTGCTCCCTGCTGCATGCAGCGGGCTAGCAACTAGGCACAGGCTGCCTCAGCACCAGGGTAGGGTGACCACAGCTCCTTCCAGGCCTTGGCCTGGTGGCGCTGGGCGCAGCCAGCTCACACTTGCTGCCCTCAGAGCCCAGCTGGCCAGCAGGAAGGAGCTGAGGGTGCTTGCGGGTGAGCAAGGCCCCACTAGAGCATGGGAGGGAAGACTGGTGCCCTGCCGCAGACCCTAGTGCTGGTCTGCGCCTCATGCAGGGCCCTGCTTGTGGCTGCTGCCATCCTCGGGCTATGCAGCGTGCCCTAGCCCTGGCTGCTCAGGTGGTGCCCCCAGATCTGGGCCAGCACCAGTGACTGTTGTTGACAGCCGGGTCTGTCCTGGTGCTGGGCTGGTGCCTCTGGGCTTGTCCCAGGTTCTGGCAGCCAAGGACAGCTGCCCCTTTTGGCTTCAGTGCCTCTAAGCATAGACTAGGCCTGGCTTGGTCTGGGGTTGGGGGTCCCATGGCAGAGGTAGAGATGTAGGATTGGCTTCTGCTGGCCTTGTGAAGGGTGAGGCCTGTGCCCCTCACAGTCTCTGACCCTCTGCTTTTGCCCCGCAGAGCCCCGCAGACCTATCGTGGCACAGCCCCCACCAGCAGCTACCAGAGCAGAGACCCCACCAAGCGCCAAAGCCCAAACAGAAAAATGAGGCTAGTTCATGTCCCGGCGCCTCCACCAGGACTCAGCGCGGGGCTCCCCCCCAGTTGTTGCTGCTTGGGCATCCCTGTCCCGCTGCGCTGGCAGCACTGGCCCAGCAGCCTTGCCGCAGCAAGAATCTCAGGTTAAAGGGGCCAGCGCCAGCCTGGCTCCCCAGGGCCCCCTGCTGCCTGATCACACTAGTGGTTGTGGGGGCTGCATAGTAGCCCGGAGCCCCCGGTACTGCGGCAGCTCCCCATGCTTCCTTCACCAGCAGTGACACTGAGCCCCATGGCAGGGGGTCGCCCTCAAGGCCCAACCAGAGACCCTGGCCGCAGCCCCACCCTGTGCCAGCCTGGCCCCCACTTTCTCCAGGGTGGGGCCTGGCCTACACAGCCTGCCTGAGAAGCGTGTGTGGAGGCCGGCTGGGCCGTACTCCGCCTGGGCATGCGTGAGACCGGTAGCACTGTACCTGACCCCCGGGCCGGCAGCAGCAGGGCTCGGTGCCCCAGCAGGGCTCCTCTCTGCATGCTGGGTGCCAAAAGCTGCTCCCGGGGGCGGGAGCACAGCCCCTTCAATGTAGCACCCCCTTTCCTGCGCCCTGGTTCGGCCCTGTGGCCTGGCCAGCGCTGCCTGGCTCTAAGCCGCCACCCAGGCCCTTTGGTCTCACCTGGGCCCAATGCAGCAGGGTTGAGGAACCTTTTGTATGGATTTTATAGACACCATTAAAGGATGAGCGGAGGGCATCTGCCTCACTGTGTCTGTTTGTCCTGGGGCTGGGTACCCCCTGCTTCTGCTGCCCGTGCTGCAGCCTCTGTGCCCTGGCCCCCCTGTCAGCAGGTCTCCAGTGCCCTCAGCCCAGGTCATGCCCATTGCACCTGCTCTGGGGGCTGCTTCTTGCACTTGGTGCTGGGTCCTGTTGTCTGCTTCAGCCCTGCTGCTCATGCTGCGACTCACCCAGCCTGTGCCCCACACCCTGTCTTAGTCATGAGCCTCAGGCATCGCGGCCCAACACTGCAGCTATGGCTATCTCTTGGTGGGTCCCTGTGCTTCTCTAACTCAGTGGGGAGACAGAGGGTTCCCAGAGGATGTGGCCCTTGTCCTGTCAACTGTGGAGCTGCAGGCTGCCCTCTTCTTCCTTCGCTGCTCTTTTCCCTCACAGCATGGCAGGGGTGGGGAACTTATCATGGCTAGGGTGGGCTCTGGCACCAGGCCCCAGCTCTGGCCTCCCCCAGTGGCGCTGCCAGTGCTGGGAGCAAGTGTCTGGGCCCATGGGCTGGACTGTGCGCGAGGTGGCTGTGCCAGACTAGGGTAGGGGGTGGGGGCTGCCCCTGCCAGCACTGGTGGGAAGCTTCCCACAGCAGAGCCCTGTGCTGCAGCTTGGAGCTTGGACCTAAATTTGCCTGTGGGCTTGGTGCCTGGGCTGGGCCTGGTGCCACCTGCAATTGTTCAAGGCAGGTAGTGTCCTGCCACCCGGGCTTGCGCCCAGCACGGGCTGTACCCACCACTGCAGCCCAGGCCCTGCCTCACTACCTAAATATAGTGCCAGAGGCTCCCTGCCAGGATGGGGGCCCGGGGGGGGGGCACTAGGCTGGGCTGTGCCCCCAGCAGAAACAAGGGTCTAGCAAGCGGGTTCCAGCAAAGATGGGGGAGGTCCCTGGTGTCTGCTTCACGGGTTTACAGAAGCTTAGGGACTGCTGTTTGCTGGGTGGCTGCAGTGGCCAGGGGGCCTTACTCAACCCCAGCTTCTCCCAGCTGCCATCCTCCTTGCACCCAGCTCCCTGGAGGGGCTCAGGTGTGCGGGGGCCAGGGCCTGGTGCTGAGGTGCTGGGGGAGGACCCTGTGCTAGATTTCAGACTGGCAGTGCTGGCTCTGACCAAGTCATGTCCTGGCTCCCTGTCCCCCAAAGCCCATGCCCAAACAGGGGGCACTTGCTGAGGCCCAGGGTGATTGCAGGGCTGTGCCCTGGTGTCTGGGCATGTCCCCAGGTGTGGTGTCCCCAGGCATCGCATGCCAGCTCCTGGGATGTGCCTAGCATGGTGTGCTGGCTGGAGCTCCCTGCTTAGAGCAAGCCCAGGCCCCAGGGAGAGAGCAGTACCCCTTGCTCCCATGGCCACACTATCCCTCACTGCCTGGAGACACGGGGTCTGTGCCCCACATCCTCTCCCAACTGTGGACCTTGCTGGGCTGTGGGCTGGGGCCTGCATCCCTGGGCCACATCTGTGGCTGTCTGCTGGTGGCAAGAGCAGTGGTGTTCCATGGGCACATAGGGCTGGGGCCTTTGTCCCAGCTCTGTAGCTCTGTCCTGGTGGCAGGGGCTGCAGTGCGACCCAGGAGCGTGGGGTTGGGGCCTGGGCTATCCCCTGATGGCCACGACACCCCACCCCAGGCCTTCCCCACATTCCCCCTTGCCCCTGGCGGAGCCCTCAGCCTCTGCTAGTAAGGCCCTCAGCACCCTTCTTCCCTGGGCTGGGGGGCAAGTAGGGGGTCCCATGGGCTCTCCCAGCGCAGGCGCCTGCCTGCCCCATGCCCCTCTCCCTCCGGGACAGTGTGACTCAGTGTCACTCGACGCCACTGACAGCTGCAGCCGCAGCCAGGGATAAAAATGGAGCTGGAATTTCAGGGATGCTGCACAGCACAAAGCTCAGCTAAAATTAGCCCCTGCTCTCACCCTTGCGGGGATGGGCAGAGGCCAGGGACAGGCAGCAGAGCCCCAGTCGCGCTGGGGGCAGCTCCGGGACGAACGGAGAGAGCAGGCAGGCCGAGCACGGGGCAAGCGAGCTGAGAGGAGGAACCGCCGGTGGAGCTAGTGGGGCAGACAGGACAGGGCAGACAGAGGTACTGGGGCAACCGGACGGCAGGACAGGCCGGCAGCAGTACCAGGGCAGGGCAGACATACTGAGGTACTGGGGCAGCAGGACAGGCCGCCAGCAGTAGTGGGGCAGACAGCCGAGGCCAGACAGCCCGGTGGTGGTAGTGGGGCCGAGGTGCAGTGGGGCGGGCAACGCAACCGTGGGGATGAACTTTGCGGTGGGCTTCAAGCCGATGCTGGGGGACGGGCAGAGCATGGACACGCTGGAGAAGCAGCTCATCTGTCCCATCTGCCTGGAGATGTTCACCAAGCCTGTGGTGATCCTGCCCTGCCAGCACAACCTGTGCCGCAAGTGTGCCAACGACATCTTTCAGGTGTGCCCGCCGGTGGGGCTACAAGGGCCATGGCCCTGCTGGGAGCCTGGGGCAGTGTGGGTTGGGGACATGTGGACCCCATGGCTGGGCCTGGCCCCAAGACTTCCACCCCCCCGGGCGCTGACTCGGTGTCACACCTGGCCATGCTGCGTCACCCCTGTGGCTCTGGGCTGGGATTGGGGTGGGGACATATCGGGTCCCTGTGGCCTGAGGCACAGCCACGTCCCCGAGGGGCTGTCTGCAGGGTGCCTGGGCGCTGCAGCAGAACTGTGCTTGTAGCCCCCCCCGCCCCCATTACTGGGAGGCTGGCCCCTAGCTGGCAGCTCTCTCTCAGGTGAGGGGCTGGGGTCTGGGGGTCGCCAGGGAACAAGGGGCTCTGGGGGCCCGGGCCCAGGCTGGGAGTCCAGGCCTGTCCTGCCAGGCTGTGCTGTGCTGCCTGAGCCCACCTCCCTTTGTCCTGGCCTCTTTGCTCGGGCTCCTCCTGCCCTTCCTCAGTGTTTACCAGCTAGATATTTATAGGCCAGGCTGGCTCCCAGCCCATGGCCCCAAGCAGCTCCAGGCCCTGGTGCTGCCCCCCGCACGCAGGCCAGGCTGGGGATCCATGGGAAGGCTGGGGCACTGCTGGGCCTGTCCATGCTGTGGCCTGTGGCCCTGGCTGGAGCAGGCAGAGCTCCTTGCTCCCTTGCTCGCAAGCTGGTGGCAGCAGGGCACTGTGCTCCACTGCTGCCTGCTTGACCCCTGGCAGTCTGGTGCCCCTGCCCCAGCTGCCCCACGCCAGCTGGAGGCCACAGAACCAGCACCACTGCTCTCAAGGCTGCGCCCTGGCAGCCAGGCCCATGATTGGGGCGGGGTGCTGCGGCCGGGGCCAGGAGCTGGTGGGGGGCAAGGCACAGGCAGCATAGGTTCCCCAAGTCCACACAGCTGCCGTGACGCCGTGGCTGTGCCTGCAGGCCTCCAATCCTCTGTGGCAGTCACGGAGCTCCAGCACGGTGTCATCAGGCGGGCGTTTCCGGTGCCCATCATGCCGGCACGAGGTGGTGCTAGACCGGCACGGCGTCTACGGGCTGCAGAGGAACCTGCTGGTGGAGAACATCATTGACATCTACAAGCAGGAGT